CTTTTTTTTTTTTTTATAAAGAACTGTATTTCAACAACTAAGACTAAAGCCATGATCGTGGTTACAAGAAGCAAGAAACTTTATGGCTCATTTTGAGGGACCTCAGTCTCAGACGGATCGTCGGTTTCTTTATTTGTCGAATCTTGCTGGGAATGGAATTCGGCATCTACAAAGACAAACCAGAAGGTTTTAAGGATAATTTGACGTTCCGGAAAAAAAAATGAATCGAATTAACCAAGATAAAAAAAAGGTTAAGTACCGTTTAGATTGATCTTTTACATCATAAGTTAAAAATGGTTAAGTACCGTTTAGACTGATCTTCTACATCATAAGTTAAAAATGGTTAAGCACCGTTTAGACTGATCTTCTACATCATAAGTTAAAAATGGTTAAGCACCGTTTAGACTGATCTTCTACATCATAACTTTAAAATGTTTAAGTACCGTTTAGACTGATCTTCTACATCATAACTTTAAAATGGTTAAGTACCGTTTAGATTGATCTTCTACATCATAAGTTAAAAAAGGTTAAGTACCGTTTAGACTGATCTTCTACATCATAAGTTAAAAATGGTTAAGCACCGTTTAGACTGATCTTCTACATCATAACTTTAAAATGTTTAAGTACCCTTTATATTGATCTTCTACATCATAACTTTAAAATGTTTAAGTGCCGTTTAGACTGATCTTCTACATGATAAGTTAAACATGTTTAAGAAAACAAGAATGGATACGGTCCGTGCGGATACGGACCTGGCGGTGTGTGATTGGTCGTTTTCCACGTCGTATACGACTTATGATTTGTAAATAATTACTTTATATACGGCAATCTATCCACATTCTGTATTCTCCATTCTGTGGTCCGGAAGTATCCTGAAATGGTCCGTGACGGTAAACATGATGTTTTCACATTAAGGGTTAAATAAAGAAGAAGGAAATGAGAAAAATGATAATATGTTTGATTATGTGAAAATAATATTCTATGTTTTATTTGGAAATCTCATATTTATGTTAGGTTTTTATATACTGCAAGACCAACTTCTGTAGATAGACCCCTATTTCAATAGGGGCGGGGAGGAGCCTCGAGATCATCGTTGATTATTGAATGGATAGTACAGGGTCTTAGAGATTGTCTTTGGTTTGTGAAGAATTAGTAGAGGAAGGGTGTGAGAGATTGGTTTGTGAAGTGTTAGTAAGGTGAGGGGTAGAGAGGGTGTGAGAGATTGGTTTGTGAAGTGGTAGTAAAGTGAGGGGTAGAGAGGGTGTGAGAAATTGGCTTGTGAAGTGGTAGTAAGGTGAGGGCAGAGAGG